TCCAACGACTTTTCCACACGCCGAATGCACGTTCGATTACGTTCCTGCACGATGAGTGTCGAAAATTAAACTTTTCCCGTGCATTTCGAAAGTTCCGCCTGCGACCGGTCACCATGTCGTAAAATTGCTGAAAGTGGTACAATATATCCGAACCCTTATATAGTGCCATGTACCCTGGCCGATGCGCGAACCCCGAGTCAACCAGATAATATTTTCCAGGACCCAATTTCGGGAAGTCAGTATCTGTGTTGTGTATAACCCTAGACAAGATTCTTGCATCATGACAATTCCCTGTCGTGCCAGCTAGCACGATTGCAAAACACAAATTGAAATCGCATGCCGCAAGCACATTCTGTTCATAGCATCTAGCATAAACATATGCCCATTACAAGCGAACGGATAACGAGAAACACGAAGTCGTTCACAATAATAGTTACATATATTCACCTCACTTATTTGACAATATTGAAATCACTCAATCATATCTAACAATAGCTCTTCCATAAATGCCTCGTCGTCAATGTCGTCATCGCCATCGGATGTTTGATGCAAATCGCAGTTCAGACCGAAATTTGCTATACACAGATTTTCTAAGGCAAATATAGAAGACGATGCTTTTCTAAGGCAATGAAATAATGTTGCTTGGCTTTGACCTTTATAGTAAAAAGGAAAGCATAGTGTGTACAAATTATACACGTAAAACAAATACATGGATAGTGAACTTGTGAGTGGGAAATTTTTTTTACCTACTAAAGTACAGTGTGTACAAATTATACACGTAAAACAAATACATGGACAGTGAACTTGTGAGTGAGTGATTTCTTTTACCTACTAAAGTACATATTTTCACCTCAATGATACAAAATAACCACAAGCTTTTTTAGATTTGCAAGCATGCTGCAAATCTAATACGAATCATAATAATGGAATGCACATAAACAATTGATTTCTCAATACATGGAAATTGGTGGTCATGGTGCATATTACGGTACAGAGAATGACAATTTTTCCAACTCAAACATAAGAACAGTACACATAAACAAATACAAATAGTACACATATAAACAAATACAAACAATAATGGAATGCACATATGAAACTGTTTTTACCTAAAAAATACGAAATAGAAACATAAAAATTAATACCAACAAGGAATGTGAAACCGTGCCACGACTCTCCACGTAAGCTGCATAAACATAGCCATTACCGAGGTTGTCCTCGCCTATACTCTTGCCAGCTCTACTCAACCCATGCAAACTTCAGGTTCACAGTCTCTTGCATGTCCGAGATCTCCCTATTTTTTTTTCCTGAGGAATGAGCATGTCCAGTAGTACAAATCGATTCCCGTTTGTAGTTGACCCGTGGACAATAACTCATGCATGCATGTTTTTGGATCGACACAGCTGGTCCAATTATCTGGTCAATTTTGGCCCCCACCTTCTCACTGGCTGTGATCGTACGATCCACTGAAAGTGACACGTCCCTTGCGAAAAACTTCTTCTTCTCCTTCTTCTTCTCCTTCGCTCGATCTCTAGCTACTTTCTGTTTATCACCACTATGCGGACCTGACATATCCATCGTTGCTGAAGCCGGTTCGAGTTCGATGCCCTCGTCACTGGAGCCGCTACTATCCACATCCACTGAGATCTCATCACGGTGATCTTCAGTAGCACTGTCTTCGAACATTGCGAAACCTGTGTGACATAGCTTGCTCGGAGTCACTGCGTATTTATCACTGTCGAAGACATCCCATAATACACCTCCCGACAATCTTTGTCCTTGAATTTTTTATAGTCTTTGTTCTCCTGATTATTAATTGAACAGAAACGACTTAGAAAATGATACACTTAGAACCCAGAAAGCAGACACTTATTATTCATGTAATTCATCCATACACAGCCACGTTAACATAAAGCACAGTCGGACATATCATGTTGGCATCCAAAAACATTGAGTTGTCAAATCGTTTCCATCCTTCATAGCACACAAATGAACAATGAGTTGAGGTTAATGACACGATGGTACCTTAAATTTTCGATCCCACCACTCCTCCGAGGCACCAATCTTGCCAGTTGACGGGTCGTATGAGATGCCAGAGCAGTTGAGCAATTCTTCAAATCACTTATGTTTATGCGGAGGGCATCCCATCGATTTTTCAATTGCTGTTTGTTCCAATTGCGGTCGAAGTTGGTGTTGAACATGTTGATTAATGTCTCCCAACCGCGTTTGGTGAAGCACTTGCCATTCTGGTGTCCGTCAGGATAACGGACTCGCAGGCAGCCACGNCAGGCAGCCACGAAGATGGTGGTCTCATTTGCATTTCACTGTGCATTTTTACGTGGCACCGTATGGTTGTGAACTTCAGGGCCGGTCGAGGCGGACGAGTGACCGATCGGTAATACTGCAGGAGTTGAAGGAGAAAATGAAATGTTGTTAAAGTTTGAATTATATAATTATACGAACGGGTCTATTAAATTGGACTTTGAAATGGAAGTAAAGAATCATTCACTTACCGAAAAAGGTTGGAATGGATCCATCCAATTAATTGCTTCGTACAGAACTCTAAGTTGAAGAAGATGGCGGAGCAGGAAATTGACCGATGTAAACGCGTGGGTCTTCGCTGCTGCAGGAGGAGAAAAAAGGAAGACTGAGTCTCAATGAAATCACTGCAGGTGGCGCTTGAAAATGGTCCGATTTCTAAAATTATCCCAAGCTGTAGATGCTGAAATTTCAAGTTTTTCGGAGACTTAACCCACTCGAAGAAGCCTGCAATGTTGAAGCTGTAAATGCTGAAATTTCAAGCTTCATCCGGATCCAATTTAATTAAACCAGCAGTGTCCGTACCCAAAATTTCCCAAGCTGTAGATACTGAAATTTTTGTCTTCAATCTGCATTAATTTCACTATGGCTGTCTCTGTAGAAGAAGATAACGTAGAAGAAGCCCAAGATTCAGCAGCTTGCAGGCGAAGAAAAAAAAATGGATGTTCCGTTTGGTAACTGGACCGATCGGCTATAACTGTGCAACATACGTTTGATTATTTTTACAATCAAATTGGTTTCTTCCTGTTACCTTTTCAGTTGTTGGATGAAGGGGAAAGTGGAGAGCGTGTGGTGGTTAGGGAAGGAGAGGTAGATGGTTAGGGAAGGAGAGGTAGATGGGTTTTGTTTGCTACTACACGCCAAGCAACGGTAGGAAAGGAAAAGTAATACGCCAAGCAAAGGTAGGAAAGGAAAAGTAATATTTTCATGGGTTGTGGTTTTTGGATCGTTACAACGCCAACGGTCCAATTTCTAATTAAAATTCGTCCAGCAGCAGGCTCAGACAAAGCCTATATGATTGAAACGAATTTAATAAACTATGAAATATATAACAAAACAATCCCAAGATCCAACAATAGTTTAAGGAAAATGTTTCTTGTATTCGCAATTTACATAATTTTTGACAGACTGGTGAGGTGTCAAAAAGAAAGATGAGAAATTTTATTCTTATTTGATTCATTTTTTTAAAAATACATTTTCTCTCTCTTCTTTTCAACCACATATTCTTCAATAAAATAATAATACACGTAAATTCAAAATTTTTCTATATTTTTTAACTACATATCCTCTATCAATTTACTATTTCAAAATGCATTCTTACTATAAAAATAGGAAACAAATAAGCTCTTCATTTTTATTTTTATTTTTGCTTATGAGATTTTGATTGAATCAAATCTTGACACATCATTTGTTGATAAATAAATTTGTAAGTTGTGATGTATATGTAGCATAGTCGATAATTTAATACCTTAACAAGCAAATAACTTTATTCCACGCAAAAAAACACGTACGAACACGTAAGGGCAAGAATAGTCTTAAGACAGCGAAGCCAAGAAATTAATAGATTACTTCTACAAAAGAACGAAAAGATTAGTCATAAGTGATTTTCTCTTTCCATTTATGGCCTCACTAGTAAACATTATTTAAAGAGTACGTTAATGAAAAGAGTTGTCATTTTTCATTTTCAACTTGGGATTCATATTGTGAATTCATGGTGATCAAGTTTGGGATCTAACTCCAATATCACTTTGACGTAGAACAGATGAGTGAATAGATTGAAATAAAATTGGATCGCAAAGGGAAAAATGTAATAATGCAAGTGTGACGTTCGAGTTTCGGCTTGAGCTCATAATGCCATTTTGGAAAGAGCACGACAAGACAAGTAGAACACGCGACTTTGCCGTGACACATGATAGGTTTCAGTCATCCAATTTCGTTTAAGAGTCGAAGACTACTTTTAAATTTTTAATGCTATTTCTGTCATTTAGTTTATTTTGAATTCTTTACAATTTTAGTTTGTTGAAATTAGATTTTCATATAAGCCCTTATAAATAAAGGATTAATTCATCTTTTTTATGATCTTTCATTAATAAAATTTCGTGAGTTTATTTTTTCATAATTTGGCGAGTTCTAAAAATTGTATTGTTAAGTTTATCGCTTAAATTCGTCACACTTGTAACGATCGAGTTCCAATCTTTATATATTAACCTAATAGATAGAATATCTCAATCTCCTTATAAACATGTTCTAGTTTTCATATACGGCACAATTATTTTATTTTATTTTTTAATGAACAGTCATTGCCAGCTAGCACTGTCCCATGCTTACGTGTAGTGCACAAAACCATACATTCCCAATATAATATTTTCAAAAAAAATATTCTCACAATTTTTTGGTCATCTGTTCACGGCTTCCTTGAACACGGTTACTCAACTAAATCACTATAAAATGTTCTTCCGCCGAAGACGAAAAAGAAGAAGACAGAGACGAACGAAAAAGCTTTTGTTAGTATTTGTCTATTTGATCACCATTGCCATGGCTTCCCCATACACTGATCCAACAAGATTTGTTTCCACACGGTATCATCGTGCATGGTTGGCCAGTGGTTGCATCTCTGTGCTAATTTCCCTAGCCAAAGCCGTTACCGGTGCATCCAGATCCAGTCCACGTACATGGCTCCAGTTAATAGCATCAGGCCTGGTCGGGTACGTGATGGCGGACCTTGCTACTGGAATATATCACTGGGCCATTGATAACTATGGCTGCTCCAAAACTCCTATATTTGGACCCCAAATAGAATCATTTCTAGTCCACCATCGAATTCCATGGGCAATCGCAACACGTCCAGTGGCTTACAACCTCCACGTTCTAGCTCAAGGAGTAACTTTCATGGTGCTTCCTATAACCCTTCTTTATAACGATCCAGTTCTTCTAGGATTTATGGGGGTTTTTGGAGGATGCATTATATTTTGCCAGCAATTTCATGCATGGGCTCATGGTGCAAAACCCAAGCTTCCCCAGCTGGTGGTGGCGCTGCAAAATGCTGGAATAATTGTACCGCGGTTGCAACACGCAGCACATCATCGTCCTCCATACAACAGCAATTATTGCATTGTGAGTGGAATGTGGAATAGATTTCTGGACAAGTCCAAGTTTTTCGTGGCACTGGAGATTATCTTGTTCTATATGCTTGGAGTGCAACCAAGATCATGGACTGAACCCAACTCTGAGTCGACCCAAGGGACTGAATTTCAAGATTATTGACAAATTGAAACGCGTTTCAATGTTGTATATATCTTTTCAGAAAATAAGGTACATGTACAAAAAAGCTCTATCGCCACATCTCATGTACCACCTGAAGTTTGGTTACACATTTGTTATAATTAAATAAATATTGGGCACTTCTGTTTGCAACGAGTAACTACATCTTTTTGAAATTTTGTATCGAAAATTGGTTGTGATCAATTTAAATGATTTAAGGGGAATTCGTTATTTGGTGAACGAGAAATTAATCCAAATTTAAGCCGCTTAAACGCTTGAAATTGTTGGAAAATCGTGTAGAATATTGTGAAATTGTTGGAAAATCATATGGAAGATCATGATCTTTGGAGATCATAACTTTTGGTATCAAGAGATGTGTCTATTGGTATGGTTGTGTCTTTTGACAA